AGCTCCTCTCTGTGCTGCCTTGTTCCATCCAGCCTCTGCCATTTTAATTATCAGTTCATTCTCCCTCTTTAGCTAAAGTATTAAAATTCCTTTACGATGCACTTTTCCCCTCCCCCAGCATGACTCCAGAATGATCCTCTGAATTTTGAAATCTTTCTCAATGAATAGAGTTCAGGTGAAAGGAGAGGTGGTGGATGAGGATAGAGTGGTCAGTGGTGTCGAAGGCAGCAGAGAGGTCAAGAAGGTCGAGGAGGCAGAGGAAGCCCTGGTCACAGATGGACTGAATGTCATTTGTCACTTTGACCAGGGCTGTTTCTGTGCTCTGGGATGTCCTCCTGACGTGAAAGGTGCTCTATAAATGTAATTTTTTTGTAGCACGAAAACTTAATTGGAGGGGTTCATAAAGGGAGTAGTGAGAGAGGAAGGAACAAAGCTGGGAAGCAACAACTCATTCCAGAACATTGGAAAGGTTGGAGATGGGGTGGTAGGTTGAGAGCAGTGATGGGTCCAGGGAGGGTTTCTTAAGGATAATAGTGATGGCGGCTGTTTTTAATTGGGTGGGAACAGTACCAGTTGACAGGGAGAGGTTTATAATGTCTGTCAGTAGAGGGGCAAGGAGATGGAGCTTGGAGTTAAGGAGAGGGGGAGGGATGGAGTCGAGGGATAAGGTGGTCAGTTTCGCGGGTTATAGTGGTAGTGATAGAGAGAGGAGTGGGAGACAGGTTCGAAGATGTGGGATGGGCAGGGGCTGAGATGAGAGGGGGAGATGGAGACAGAAGGGCAGTGGGAACTGAGCAGATACCCTCGACTTTGGATTCGAGGATGTCCAGCATTGCCTTGCAGTTGGAATTGGAGGTGAGGATGGGTGAGGCATGAGAGGGTGGGTGGTGGAGCCAGTTGGTGATGGAGAAGTGGAGCCTGGGGTTCTCCTTGACCTCCAAGATTGTCTCGGAGTAAAGCGATGATTTAGCGGAGGCGAAGGTGGAGCGGTACGATTTGATAAGGTCCAATCGGATCTGCCAATGGACAGTTAAGTTTGATTTAAGCCAGGTGCGCTCAGCAGTTTGTATCTGTGCTTTAAGGGAGCACGGTGACTCTCGTGAGGAGGAGTCAGTTCAGGTGAGTGGAGCAAGGGAATCGAGAGTGGAGGAGAGGGAGCTGTGGAGAAGGGTGACCGAGAAGGATAGGTCATTGCGAGAGGAAGCCCAGAGGGGAAAGAGTTCAGATGACTCCAAGGCAGCCAAGAGGAGGGGAGATTTTTTTCCGGGGTGGTAGGAGGTGGAGGTTGAGTGGTGGTGGGAAGAGGGATTGAGGAATTCAGGAAGATGAAGTGATGGTTCGAGATAGCTTTATCGATGATGGTGAGGTCCAAGACAGAGATGCCCTGAGTGATCACCAGGTTGAGGGGGTGACCTCGGACGGGGGTGGAGGAGTGGATCTGGAGGGAGAGGTTCATGGAGGAGATAAGGGAGAAGTCAGCAGAGGTAGAGCAGGAGGGGGTGAAGTGAAGGTTGAAATCGCTTAGGATGAGGAGGCGTTCAGAGTAGAAGGAGATGGAAGATAGGAGAGTGGAGATGTCGGGGAGGAAGTTGTGGAGGGCTTGGGAGGGGGGCGGTAGATAATTGATAACTGTGCTGTATAATTCTATGATTCTACATAGATAGACACATATACACACAGTAACAGAGAGATAACACGCACACACAGATATATACATCTGTAGGTACATTAGATATCTTTAACGTCCACCTGAACAGGCACATGGTATCTTGGTTTCAAGTTTCATCTGAAGGACGGCATCTCCAATGATACAACGAGAATGATACCAGGAATGGGGAAGCTCAGCTATGAGGACAGGCGGGAGAAGTTAGGACTTCTCTTAGAGCAGAGAAGGTTACGCGGGGACCTGATAGAGGTCTTCAAGATCATGAAAGGTCATGAAAGGTTTCGACAGGCGAGATAGGGAAAAGCTGTTTCCGCTGGTAGGTGTGTCTGTGACCCGCGGTCACAGTCTTAAGATATCTACCAAAAGAAGCAAAGGGGAGGTTAGAAGAATTTTTTTCACTGCGAGTTGTTCGAATTTGGAATGATTTGCCTGAAAGGGCAGTGAAGTCCGATTCGATAATAGCTTTTAAGAGAGAACTGGATAGGTATCTGGGGAAGACGGGTTTGCAGAGGTTATGGGGAGAAAGCTGGTGATTGGGGTTAATGAAAGTGACGCTTTGTCAAAGAGCCGCACAGACTCGATGGGCTGAATGGCCTCCTTCTGTGCTGGAAGATTCTAAGTTAGGAATCACTCCTGTGTGAATGTTATGTTTGGAAGCGAAACACAAAACCATTGCTTAGGCCGCTCACTTTATTATTATTGGAAATCCGTCATTTGAAAAGACAACGTCCATGTTACAGTGGGTACATGATAGGGTTCAAAGCACTTTCCATGTCACAGTGCTGAATGGACACTGGAGCTGGGGTGGGAGCCGAGGGGGCCGGAGGGGAAAGGAACCCCAATCAAGGAGATACGTTTTGAGACTTGGCTTGGAAGGATTGTCAGGGTGGGGTGGGGGGGGGGGGGGGGGAGTGGGGGGGGAGCAGGGCAAGGTGAAGCCAGGGAGGGATTTGAACATGAAATGAATTGAGTTCACACATCCATCAATGGTATAAATTTTTGTAAATATTCAAAACAGCTCAATATATTGTGAGGATCTTTCTCCTCCTCTGACAAACACTAACATCAGCCAAAATTGACCACGGCTCGACCGCCTGTCCCTCCCTCAGCCACCTCAAACTCCGCTACGCAAACTCCCTGCTTATCGGCCTCCCCAACCCCTCCCTCCACAGGCTGCAGATCATCCAGAACTCTGCAGCCCGTGTCCTCTCCCGCACCGGGCTCCGTGACCCCCATCCTCACCCGACTCCACTGGCTTCCCATCACACAGAGGATACAGTTCAAGATGCTGGTCCTCACCTTCAAAGCCCCCCCTGGTGTTGCACCCCCGACCTCTGCAACTGCTAACTCCCTATCAACCTGCACTCAGTGGGCTCCAGCTCGGCTCTGAAACACTGACTATCCCGCGACTTGGGACGTACTCCCGACATGAAAGGTGCTCCACACATGCAATTTTGCTGTTGTGACTTCACACCCGTGCACCTCCCTACCTCTCTGACTTGCTCACACCCCAATCCTCAGTGGGTGGGGTCAGGCCTGAGTGACAGGGACTGTGGGTGGGGTCAGGCCTGAGTGACAGGGACTGTGGGTGGGGTCAGGCCTGAGTGACAGGGACTGTGGGTGGGGTCAGGCCTGAGTGACAGGGACTGTGGGTGGGGTCAGGCCTGAGTGACAGCGACAGTGGGTGGGTCAGGCCTGAGTGACAGGGACTGTGGGTGGGGTCAGGCCTGAGTGACAGGGACTGTGGGTGGGGTCAGGCCTGAGTGACAGCGACTGTGGGTGGGGTCAGGCCTGAGTGACAGGGACTGTGGGTGGGGTCAGGCCTGAGTGACAGGGACTGTGGGTGGGGTCAGGCCTGAGTGACAGGGACTGTGGGTGGTGTCAGGCCTGAGTGACAGCGACTGTGGGTGGGGTCAGGCCTGAGTGACAGGGACTGTGGGTGGGGTCAGGCCTGAGCGACAGGGACTGTGGGTGGGGTCAGGCCTGAGCGACAGGGACTGTGGGTGGGGTCAGGCCTGAGCGACAGGGACTGTGGGTGGGGTCAGGCCTGAGCGACAGGGACTGTGGGTGGGGTCAGGCCTGAGCGACAGGGACTGTGGGTGGGGTCAGGCCTGAGCGACAGGGACTGTGGGTGGGGTCAGGCCTGAGCGACAGGGACTGTGGGTGGGGTCAGGCCTGAGCGACAGGGACTGTGGGTGGGGTCAGGCCTGAGCGACAGGGACTGTGGGTGGGGTCAGGCCAGAGCGACAGGGACTGTGGGTGGGGTCAGGCCTGAGCGACAGGGACTGTGGGTGGGGTCAGGCCTGAGCGACAGGGACTGTGGGTGGGTCAGGCCTGAGCGACAGGGACTGTGGGTGTGGTCAGGCCTGAGCGACAGGGACTGTGGGTGGGGTCAGGCCTGAGCGACAGGGACTGTGGGTGGGGTCAGGCCTGAGCGACAGGGACTGTGGGTGGGGTCAGGCCTGAGCGACAGGGACTGTGGGTGGGGTCCGGCCTGAGCGACAGGGACTGTGGGTGGGGTCAGGCCAGAGCGACAGGGACTGTGGGTGGGGTCAGGCCTGAGTGACAGGGACTGTGGGTGGGGTCAGGCCTGAGTGACAGGGACTGTGGGTGGGGTCAGGCCTGAGTGACAGGGACTGTGGGTGGGGTCAGGCCTGAGTGACAGGGACTGTGGGTGGGGTCAGGCCTGAGTGACAGGGACTGTGGGTGGGGTCAGGCCTGAGTGACAGGGACTGTGGGTGGGGTCAGGCCTGAGTGACAGGGACTGTGGGTGGGGTCAGGCCTGAGTGACAGGGACTGTGGGTGGGGTCAGGCCTGAGTGACAGGGACTGTGGGTGGGGTCAGGCCTGAGTGACAGGGACTGTGGGTGGGGTCAGGCCTGAGTGACAGGGACTGTGGGTGGGGTCAGGCCTGAGTGACAGCGACTGTGGGTGGGGTCAGGCCTGAGTGACAGCGACTGTGGGTGGGGTCAGGCCTGAGTGACAGGGACTGTGGGTGGGGTCAGGCCTGAATGACAGGGACTGTGGGTGGGGTCAGGCCTGAGTGACAGGGACTGTGGGTGGGGTCAGGCCTGAGTGACAGGGACTGTGGGTGGGGTCAGGCCTGAGTGACAGGGACTGTGGGTGGGGTCAGGCCTGAGTGACAGGGACTGTGGGTGGGGTCAGGCCTGAGTGACAGCGACTGTGGGTGGGGTCAGGCCTGAGTGACAGCGACTGTGGGTGGGGTCAGGCCTGAGTGACAGGGACTGTGGGTGGGGTCAGGCCTGAGTGACAGGGACTGTGGGTGGGGTCAGGCCTGAGTGACAGGGATGGGGGGAAGGGGTTGTATTGGGACCTATTACAGAAGATAAAATGAATCTTTATCAAACATGCTTTTCACGGCTCTCTGTGCGGCTCCCACGTGCTGCCTCACTGCGTCCGTCAGGACCGTGACGGTGAACCACGAGGACACTGCTGCTCCGAGGAGAGAGATGGTCACTGGAGGGAAGCCACGTTCCTTCATAGCCACCGTGCAGCCAACAGCGGTGGCCAACAGCACTGGAGACAGTTTACTCAGTAAACAAAGCTTCTTTACAGTTTTCCATATGCTCATGGGCTCCTCCCGGAATGAGCTGATCGCTCTGTACAGAGACCCGTAATCCAGTCCAACCTCACGCTGGAGATATACGAGTCCTGCGACTACCAGCCCAATGCAAGTCACAAACAACAAGCCTGGCCGTGGGACCGCACCCACAGCACCAGCCAGCACAGCCAACAGCCAGATTCTGTTCACCATCGATCTTATCTTCTGTCCCATAATCTCCCTGGTTATTTCGGGGAGTGCGAGTGTGAAACCCTGTGACCTGATCATCGGGACATGTCTGACGAGGTTCGTCCTTAGTTCAGGAAAGTCATATTTGTTCAATTTAAAGTTTGATATCAGAAAAATGGGGGGTATTTTAATGTTAGTGTATTGGAAGTTGGCCACACAGTCCATCCGGATTGTCTTCATCTCTTCATCTTCTGTAAACTCAGCTCCTTCCATTGCCAGTGAGTGCAGATCATTGTCTATTTTACATCGGACATAGAAGCACAGTTTGCCCTGCTCCTGGACCTTCTTGGCCAGTTCAGCATCATTTTCCCTGAAGCGAGCCTGAGCCACAATGATGAAGAAGTCGTAGCTCTCAAACTTTACCAGCTCCAGATAACGCTTCATTCCCAAACCACAGCTATTTACTGCTGGAAGGTCCCAGAGCTGAACATTGGGGAGATGTGGATAGGGATACATGGTTGGCTCAGTTGTGGTCTCACAGTGACCAGTCGGAGCAGCTCCCTGAGCGTTGCTCTGAAGATTTCTTATGGCATTGATAAAGGTGGATTTCCCTGAGCCTGCTTCACCTGCCACTGCAATGTTAACCTGTACCTCATCTAAGTGACTACATTTATTCCTTATCTGAGATAGAATGGCTCCTAATCCACCAGTCTTATAATCAGATTGTAGTCCAATGATTTCATCAGAATGGAAGAACTTGGAGGCAGCCATTTGATCTCTGAAATCAAAGATTAATATGAAGGTTTAATTAATGTTGGCCATCAAAAACAACTTATATTGACACGTTACTTATCATGTAGGGAGAGGTCTCAAACATTTGATCAGTTGGATTGGGAGCCCGAGCGAGGTGGGAGATGGGGGCGAGAAGCGAGGGGATCGAAAACACAGCCAAAGAGACAGATTCTTAGAAGACTTTTGAAGGTAGAGAGGGAGAGTATGAAAGATATAGCTACAGAATATCCCTGGAGTGTGTGTGTACAGTGTATACTTGGAGTGTGTGTGTACAGTATATACCTGGAGTGTGTGTGTACAGTATATAAATGGAGGGTGTGTGTATAGTATATACCTGGAGAATATGTGTGTGCAGTATATACTTGGAGTGTGCGTGTGTGTAGCATAAATCTACAGTGTGTGTGTACAGTATATACCTGGAGGGTGTGTGTACAGTATATACCTGGAGGGTGTATGTAAAGTATATACCTGGAGGGTATGTGTGTACATTATATACCTGGAGAGTGTGTGTGTACAGCATATACCTGCAGTGTGTGTTTGTACACTATATACCTGGAGGGTATGTGTTAACAGTATATACCCAGAGCGTGTGTGTGTACAGTATATACATGGAGTGTGTGTACAGTATATACCTGGAGTGTGTGTATACAGTATATAACTGGAGGGTGCATGTGTACAATATATACCTGGAGGATTTGTGTGTACAGTATATACCTGGAGGGTGTATGTTTACAGTATATACCTGGAGTGTTGTAGACAGTATATAACTGGAGGGTGTATGTAAAGTGTATACCTGGAGGGTATGTCTGTACAGTATATATGTGGAGAGAGTGTGTGTACAGTATATGACTAGTGGGTGTGCACAGTATATACCTGGAGTGTGTGTGTATAGTATATACCTGGAGGGTATGTATATACAGGATATAACTGGAGGCGGTGTGTACAGGATATAACTGGAGTGTATGTGTACAGTATTTAACTAGAGGGTGTGTGTACATTATATACCTGGAGGGTGTGTTTATAAAATATATACCTGGAGTGTGTGTGTGTAAAATATTTACCTGAGGGTATGTGTGTGCAGGATATAACTGGATTGTATATCAACAGTATATACCTGGAGTGTGTGTGTACAGTATATAAGTGGAGTGTATATGTACAATATATAACTGGAGAGTATGTGTACAGTATACCTGGAGGGGGAGGATATGTGTGTACAGGATATAACTGGAGAGTATGTGTACAGTATACCTGGAGGGGGAGGGTGTGTGTACAGGATATAACTGGAGTGTATGTGTACAGTATATAACAAGAAGCTGTGTGTGTAGGATATCACTGTGGATACGCTGTTAAAGGAAGTGACTGTCAGACATTGTGGGACAGAGGAGCAAACAGACAGAGTGAATGTGTAAAGAGACAGATACTGACCGGAGTGTGTCCTTCACTCTCTGCAATCCCCACTCGCTGTCCTCGGCTCGGGACCAGTCTTACCCACCAGCTGCTCACAGTAAACGAGTTTGCCCTGAGTAGCGGCAGCAGTGAGAGGCCACAGCACAAGAGCAGCCGTTACAGTGAAAGTGAAAGGAGTTTGTGGTGGGAGTTCTCTTCCTGTACAGAGGCGTCCAATGTGTGGCATTCATGACACTTCAAGGCAATCTGTTCCTCCTCATCACCGATGCTCGTCAGTGACAGAGAATCACAGCACTTGGTTCACTGGGAAATGGGTCCAGGATCGTGTTTATATTGTATTTATAATAATAATAATTGTTGCATTTGATATAGCGCTTTTCACGGTCTTCTAGACATCTCAAAGCGCTTCACAGAATATATTGTAAAGTGAATTGACTGTATATTTGTGGGCGAAACGCGGCAGCCAATTGCGCACAGCAGCGTCCCACAAACAGTGACCAATTTTATTGTTTTGTTTTTTCTTGAGGGATTGTCATTAGGTGTGTGGAGTAAGGAAACTGTCCCAAGGTTTCGCTCTACCAGGAATCGAACCCAGTCTCTGGTTTGCAAGGCGAGTGCTCTAAACATTGAGCTACAGGACTCCACAATAACAACAAAAACAACTTGGATTTATATAGCGCACTCCACACCGGACGGCGTCTCAGAGCGCTTTACAGTAATGGATCCAGGGACCGGGTCAAGGGGAGGGGGAGGAGCTGGGGAGGGGGAAGAGCAAGGGGAGGAGCCAGGGGGAGGAGCCAGGGGAGGGGGAGGGCTGTCGAGGGGGAGGGGCCAGGGAGGGGGGGGGGGAGGGGGGTGAAGGTGACCAACGGTGCGGTCAAAAAGGAAAGTCTTCAACAGAGACCTGAAAATGGGAAGGGAGGGAACAAGACGAAGGGAGTGAGGAAGGCAGTTCCAGAGCCTCGCGGCGCAGTGGCTGAAGACACGGCCACCGAGGGTGGAGCGGAGGACTCGGGGGATGAGGAGGAGGCCAGACCCGGAGGAACCTGTGTTTAATAGAAACAATGTGTGTTTAATAGAAACAGCTTCTTCCCACTGCAATAAACAATCCCAGTACTTACACCCATGTTAAGGCTTGGTATCCTCCAGGTTAGAATTGTGTTATTCAATGATCCAGGGGATTGTTGGCCAAGACACCGGGAGAAACCCACTTTTCATTCTGAATAGTGCTGTGGAGCCCTTAATGTCCACTGAACAGACAGACAGGACCTCAATGTAATGTCTCAGCTGAGGACAACACCGGCAACAATGCAAGGCACCCCTCTCACTGCACTGGAGTATCAGTTAATTATGTAAGTTTAAAGTTATATTTAATTAAATGACTTTGCTTTTAGTGTTCCAAAACAATTCAAATTACTCAAACTCATGACGCTGTATAAATTAACTCTGAACATTTTGGACACAAGTAATATCTCAGATGCATTTATAGTACACCTGGACAGGGGTAGCATTAATCCCAGGTCTGTGATCTGCTTTAGTAACACCAGACAAGGGATTTTTCAGGTTAGCATTCTGTGATCTCATTTACTACAACTATTCAGGTCAGTAAATTATGGAAGTTTTAATCTTATTGAAATATAAAAATACTAAGCCACAACAAGAAAACAAATTCTGTTGATAGATTTCCTTCATCCAATCATAAATCATAATGTTACCTTTGTGCAAATTGTAGATGTTGACACTGTAAAGTGAATTGTCTGTATATTTGTGGCAGCCAATTGCGCACAGCAGTGTCCCAAAAACAATCATGGATTGAAGTCACCAATTTATTCATTTTCTTTTCTTGAGGGATTATTATCAGGCGTATGGAGTAAGGCAACCTGCCCAAGGTTTCGCCCTGCTGAACCCAGGTCTCTCGCTTGCAAGGCGAGTGCTCTAACCACTGAGCTACAGGACTTCACATGACAAAGGTAATTCCATGATCCAGAATTACCTGATTATACCGAATGCCTTTCCTCTCCTGTTACACAATGTTGGTCTTTATTTCATCTGCCAAGTGTCAATACTGCAATGGGTCACAGCACATATAAGGGATCTGTGGGCTGTAAGGTTGGAGCTTACCAGACAGGTTCACCCGGTTACATCGTACAGTAATGTGACTGTTGGGAAATAGCCACAGCATTGCCTTTGCTGCTGATGTGATGGTTACTGTTATGAAGATTTCACTTGTAAGTTATTCTAACACTATCACATCACATCCCCAGGGAGTAAACCCTAATCAATGGCTGCTGTCAGTGACTTCAGATAGAAAGCGTGTGAATGGATTGACTCTGATGGCTGTGATGGTCCTCAGGTATAAATTACCACTCAGCACAGGGTGACCATGTGTGTGTCCACTCTCGGGCCCACCGTGGCACTCGGCATTGGCTGTCCAGCAGCAGCCGCACTGAGTGCCCCATTCCCCACTATCACCACAAGCCCCGCCTGACCCAGACCCCGGGGCACAATCTCTCCTCCCGCATCTTCATTCCCATCCTCCCTGCCAATCCCTCCATCATCCCCTCAGGTCTCACACATTCCCCTGGCAACTGTCCCCTCCGCACCAGCCTTCAAAATGTCTACTCCCTCTGCAACAAGGCTCTGACCATCAATGACCTCATCGATGATGAAAATATCAACATCAGTAACACCCCAGACGACAGCTTCCCCTCACTGAGGCCGCACCACCTAGCTATACCTCCCATCATTCTTCACATCCCAACCACCGTGGCAGTGGTATGACCCTCATCTCCAGGACCTCCCTTACTCTATCCTCTTACTGCTCTGGCTCATTCCCCTCATTCGAGCTCCTTACACTCCACCATCCACTCTGCCACCCACATTCCTGGCCACCCACTCAACCTGGTGATTTCCCGGGTTCACAAAGTCTTAGATATCACAAACAAAGCCATCTCCTCACCAAATCATCTCCTTTAAACTCCTCGATCCCTCTCCCCATCACAACCCAACCCACTTCCATCTCCGATCACCCCTGGAAAAAAATCTCCCTGCAATCGCTCTACGCTGCACTGGAGATATCTGAACTCCTCCCCCTCTGGCCCACATCCCACACTGATTTATCCTCCTCGTTCACTCTCCACAACTCCCTCGACACCACTCGATGCCCTTTCCCCCCTCACCTCCCGAACTATTTCCTACTCACGAACTTCACCCTGGTACACCAGCCACCTGCGCTCCCTTAAGAGTCAGGTGTGGGCCGCCATATGCACCTTGTTCAAATCTGATCTGCGTTCCACTGGCAGGCCTGGCTGGACCACATTAAAATGTACCGCTCCACCCTCACGTTCGCCAAATCGTCCTTCTACTTCAAGATAATCTTGGAGGCGAAGGACAACCCCAGGCTCCCATTCTTCACCACCAACCGGCTCCTCAGTACTCCCTCCCACGCCTCGTCCATACTCTCCTCAAGCTTTGACTGTGAGGAGATGCTGGATTTCCTTGAGTCCAAAATTGAGCAGATCTGTTCAGGTGCTTCCACTCTCCCAAATGCCACACCCTCCCCATCTCTCCCCACACTCTGATCCCTATCCATTCTTTCCTTCACATTTTTAGACCTGTCTCCCCCTCCTCTTTCATCACCACAATATCCAGCATGAAATACACCACCTGCTCCCTTGACCCCATCCCCACCCCACTCCTTGCCTTCCAGATCCACCTCCTCGCCACGCTACTCTTCAACACAATCAATCTCTCTCTATCAACTATCATTCCCATCAACCTAAAAACAGCTTTGATCATATTGTACAGAATTCAAAATCCTCGTCCTCACTTTCAAGCTCCTCATACCTCTTTGACCTGGTAAACCCCATCAACCTATCCTGAAAAAACCTTCCCTGGACCCATCCCCACTTTCTAACTACCGATCCATTACCAACTTTCCTTTATTTCCTCTCCTATCATTACCTTCACGAGTCTCTCAATCCATTTTCCGTGCTGCTCACAGCACAGAAACTGCTTTGGTCAAGGTGACAAACAACATTCTGTCCAACTGTGACCAAATGAAGCAACTCACTTGTCTGTAACTTTTGGTCACAACGCATGAATCTCACTCTGCAGCAGCTACATGTATTGTAGCCCAAAGTTTCGAGCAAGCGATGTGCTTCATGGTTCATTCATGATGTGAGTATCTGCCTCCCTCCAGCCTTCATGCCACTGGGAAGGGAATGTTGGTGGGAGACCGGTACCAACATTAGTACCAAAGCAGTAAAGTTTAGCTTCTTTTAGTGTAAATTAGAGGGACCTGGAAAGGGAATCTCAAACACTAACTTTCATCTGAAGACCTTCCCACCACAAAGCCTCACATGGGCATTGCCTCCATCTCTCCCGGACTCACGTCACATACTGTAGCCCCACTCCCACCTGCTCCATCCCGGGCTCTCCCTCTATCTCTCTCTCTCTCTCTCACATCCAGACACTGTAACAAGCAACAACAACAACAACAAGATTACATTTTTTGTCCTCCCTAAGGCAGGACATGTGGCAATCAGAATACGTCCCCGACTCCTCTTGGAGACCCCGCCTCCAGTTGTTGACCCCGCCTCCCTTGGTGACCCCGCCTCCAGTTGTTGACCCCGCCTCCTCTTGGTGACCCCGCCTCCAGTTGTTGACCCCGCCTCCCCTCGGTGACCCCGCCTCCAGTTGTTGACCCTGCCTCCCCTTGGGGTGCCCGCCTCCCCTTGTAGCCCCACCTCCCCTTTCATGGCACTGCCTCCCTTTGGTGACTTTCCCCCACCATGGTGGTCCCGCCTCCTCTTGGTGGCCCCGCCTCCCCATGGCGGCCCCGCCTCCCCATGGCGGCCCCGCCTCCCCATGGCGGCCCCGCCTCCCCATGGCGGCCCCGTCTCCCCATGTAGGCCCCGCCTCCCCATGGTGGCCCCGCCTCCCCATGGCGGCCCCGCCTCCCCATGGCGGCCCCGCCTCACCCTGGTGGCCCCACCTCCCCCTGGTGGCCCCACCCCCTCACAGCCACAACCTGCCCCCAGACTCCCTGCCTGGTACCCAGTGAGGCAGCGCTGCACTGGATTCTCACTGGACCCTCTCTGTGAGACCGCCCTCCCCTGTCACTGGGTGTGTGAGTGGAGCAGTTGGAGACAGGAGATATTTGCACAAAGCTCTCACAGTGCGGGTGGGGCTGAAGCAGCAGCAACAGTCGCTCTGGATATCGCTGTTGACGGTGACTATCAGCAAAGTCTATTTCACTGATCGAGTTGTTCCAACAAGTACCCACTGCAGGTAAGGACCAGGACTTCACCATCAGCTGCTTTTGTATGAGGGTCAATTATCCGAGAATTCTCTGCATTGAGCACCGACTGATCAGTCTATTGGTGACAGAATAATTTGGTTCAACTCCATCCGAGTCCAGATTTACTGTTAATGTCGCATTTCAGAGCCTCAAGGATTTGGCAAATTGCCTCAACTTTGTTTTCAGTAGTTTTTAAAAGAAACCAGAGTACTGTGACCAAATTCAATCTGTCTTTATTAATGCATTAATATACCGTTTCAGAGCCTCCAGAATTTGGCAAATTGTTGAATTTCGTCTTAACTTTGAAACCGGATTTTATTATTCTTAAAAAGCTTTGGACCTTAACCTTATAAGAGAATAATTTTCCCTCTGGTGACGAGTGTGTTGGAGCTTCCACATCATCCTGAACTCTGGCCTGTACACAGCCCCACCTTCACCAGCTTCTCTATATCCTTTCCCGGCAGCTTGAGTCTTAGCTCAGAAGAATCTTTGCTTTGTGTGAATCATCTGTTTCTTTGCTTCGACTATTTGATCTGTCACAAGACACTGGACCAACAAACCAGGGTGTGGGAATGTCCAATGTCTTTGTGGCGCCCAAGAGGAGAGTCTGAACCTTTCCACAGAACCAAGTCTTTGTGGTGTTGGGTTTTTATCAGGCAGATGATAAAATGAATGTTGTCATTAAATGTCCAAATCATGAATTTTATTCGGATTGGCAAATAGTAGAAACACAACGTTAAAAAACAGTCTCTACCAGATAAAGCGTGATCAAGTATAGAATTGGGTGTTTGATCAGTTACCTTTTCTCTGGGCGTTTTCACAGTCCTCTTGCACTCATAATAGTATAATAATAATCCTTGCATTTGATATAGATATATATAGATATATCCCTCATCCCCTCATCTCCACGATCGGCAGTCGTGATCTCAGCCCCGAAAATATGGAACTCTCTTTCTCAATCCGTCTCTCTTCCCTCCTCCTTCACAATCTTCAGATCATATCTTACTCTCCGGTCACCTCTTCCCTCTTCACAGCTTTGCATCAAACTCCGCCCCTGTTAAGGGCTTCAGACACTAACCCAGGTGAAGGGCGCTATAACAGATTGCAAGTTGTTGTGGGTCAATGTCTCACCTTCCTAGTCCAGGGATATGTTAAAACTGGAGAAGAAACCTGAGGGGAAGTTTTACAGACATTTTGATGCTTGGCTCTCCAGGACAAGCTGTAATTGTAGGCGAACAATGTTACAACAAGAGATCTCACTTATATCGCGCCTTTCATATAGTTACAGTCTGAAAGCCTTTTACAGAGACAGAATAGCAGCCCGAGCAGCGTAGCAGATAAACAGGTGGAGGGAAATGATTGAATATGAGATCAAAGATGTTGATTTTTCAAGAAGGAAGTTTCTAGAGAAGGAAGATTCTCCTGCTGTCCTGGCCAACAATCCCACAAATAAAACTAGTCATTCGTTTCATGTGGGATATTGCTATGCACAATTGTGCTCCTTTGTTTGCCCACAAATGTAGGAGTCCTGTAGCTCAGTGGTTAGAGCAATTGTCTCACCAGCAAGAGACCTGAATTTGATTCCCAGCAGAACGAAGCGTTGGGCAAGTTTCCTTACTCCACACCCCTCTGTTTACCTAGTAGGAACCCGGTTGATAATCGATTGGTGGATCGCTTTTCCAGGAGTAATAATTCCTTCGAAAAAAATAATAATAAATTGGTCAATCAATCCACGACTGTTTGTGGGACACTGCTGTGTGCAATTTACTGTCTGTCGCGTTTCGCCCACAATATATAAAGTCATTTCATTTTACAGTATATTCTGTGAAGTACTTTAAGACATCTGAAAGATGTGATAATGCACTATAATCAAATGCAAGAAATATTATTACATATACTCAGTCACTCAATTTATCAATAATTCCTGAGAAGCACTTTGAGATGTCCTTCTGATGTGATAAGGTGCCATATAAATGCAAGTATTATTATAGTTTAGACATTGGAAATGGAGGAGAGAGTGGAGACTCGCCCAGTGGTGGGAAGAGAGTTGGCGGAGTGGAAAGTGTGGCTGGGTGGTAGAGGAACACAAGATAGTGGGTGACAAACGTGGAAGTATTTGAAGCTTAAAATGAGGCTCTTGACGTAAACTTCCTGGAAGTTAGGAACCAATGAAGCCCGGTGAGGGTGATTGGCTCACGTAGCCAGTACAGAAAAGAATATGGACTACAATGTTTTAGCTTGTGCAGGGTTCAGCTGTGAAGTCTCCCTCGCCTCCTTCAAAGCACGTCTCAAGACCCTCCGGTTTGACCGCATATTTGGTGACCATCCTACCTTATCCTTCCTGCCTTCCATCCACTCCTGATCCCAATCCCCAGTTTGCGTCCAAATTCCTGACCATCCAGCGCCTTGGGATGTCCTCCAGATGTGAAAAGCACTATACAAATATAATTTGTTGTTGTTGCTGCTGCTGTTAACCAAGTCAAACTGTCCCATGGTTAATATTGCATTCCCCCTCAAAATTGTAATAACCTCTTTCATACCAAAATTCGTATCTGGTAAATGTGCACCATACACTCTCCAGCTCTATGATATCGTTCCTGTAATTGGGAGAACACAATACACCAGCTGTGGCCTAACCAGCACGTCCATTCCAACATGACTTTTATATTTAATGACCTGACTTACAGGAAAGGATCTTATCTGTAGCTCATTGCACTTTGACACAATTGGGAACTGACAAATGTTGAATTGGTGGTTAATGTTTAACGAAGGAGTGATGTCCTTCCCCTATTGCGCCCAGCAGTTGTACATTGAGTGAATAGGATTTTTTTAAATTAGTCATCAAATACGATTCCTGTATGGATAAAAATCAATTTACATTTATTTAGGACCTTTCAATTTGGGAGGGCATCTTAAAGTACTTGCGACATGTAAGGAAGTAAACCATTACTAAGCTTCTTCTCCTTGCCCCATTCTCGGAGATTCTACCACCCATGACCCCCCCATCCACACCCAAACCTGTCCCTCCCACTGTCTGATTCTCTTTTATTTGCACCTAAAACTACCTCTATTTCTTACTCCATTGCCCTCTCTTTGCTACACAGACTTTCTACCATGGCTACGATCTCACACACTGACCTTGGTCTAATTCAGTGCAGCTTTGAGATGTGTCTATTCGTTACCCGCACAGCTTTCCTAACCACACACCAACCAGCATTACATTACTCCGCTAACCAGGAACCATCACTGGGCAGTTCTCCAGCTGTTAGCTCTGTCCAAACTTTACTGGGAACTGTGACTGTCACCATCTCAATCCTTTGTTCATGGACATGACAGCAATTGCACAGAGAAACATGCAATATTTTATAACTATTATAAAGACAGGTTCCACATTGAGCAGCTGTTAGTCTCTAGTTTGTCAGTGAGCCTAAACTGTGCCTCAAGCCCCCCAGCCCACCCCTCTCCTGTACAATCTGTTCACTCACACAGCTGCTACTTGTCTCATATCAATCAGTAAGGATACAGACAAGTAGCTGATAAACACTGACAATGTTAATGTAGAATATTTATTTCCTTTCATCTCCTCACTCCACAGAGAGTATCCACAGGAGAATCTATAACCAGGGTCACAGTCTGAAAATTAAGGGTCAGCCTTTTAGAACAGAGTTGAGGAAACATTTCTTCACTCAGAGGGTAGTGAATTTAATCCTCAGTTTGTCCCCACCTCCCCATGGTGACCCCGCCTCCCCATGGGGACCCCGCCTCCCCATGGGGACCCCGCCTCCCCATGGGGACCCCGCCTCCCTATGGTGGCCCCGCCTCCCCATGGTGTCCCCGCCTCCCCATGGTGGCCCCGCCTCCCCATGGTGGCCCCGCCTCCCCATGGTGGCCCCGCTTCCCCATGGTGACCCCGCTTCCCCATGGTAGCCCCGCCTCCCCATGGTAGCCCCGCCTCCCCATGGTGGCCCCACCTCCCCTTGGAGCATCAGCTCAAACAATGTTATTCTAAGTCTTGACGTGGGGCTTGAACCCACAACCTCTGACTCAGAGGTCAGAGCGCTACCAATATACTTTGTAACAGAAAAAGGGTTTGTATCATTAATTATTATCATAGATTTACCAGTTGTTTAAACCTGAAGAACCTTTCATTCCGCTTTGAAGACCTTTTATTCCAGTTTCAAATGCACCAATCGAAATCGGCCACCAGAAGGCTGAACAATGTTGAGCTAATTTTCGGTTTGCATTTAGCTGACGTTGTGCTGCATATATTTTAGTTTCAGCCAATCTGAACCTGCCCCCAGACTCCCTGCCTGTACCCAGTGAGGCAGCGCTGCACTGGATTCTCACTGGACCCTCTCTGTGAGACCGCCCTCCCCTGTCACTGGGTGTGTGAGTGGAGCAGTTGGAGACAGGAGATATTTGCACAAAGCTCTCACAGTGCGGGTGGGGCTGAAGCAGCAGCAACAGTCGCTCTGGATATCGCTGTTGACGGTGACTATCAGCAAAGTCTATCTCACTGATCGATTTGTTCCAACAAGTACCCACTGCAGGTAAGGACCAGGACTTCACCATCAGCTGCTTTTGTATGAGGGTCAATTATCCGAGAATTCTCTGCATTGAGCACCGACTGATCAGTCTATTGGTGACAGAATAATTTGGTTCAACTCCATCCGAGTCCAGATTTACTGTTAATGTCGCATTTCAGAGCCTCAAGGATTTGGCAAATTGCCTCAACTTTGTTTTCAGTAGTTTTTAAAAGAAACTGACAGAAAACAGACCTTAGAAATAAGGCTGTGTTTGAGGATTGGACAAATTCTGGACACTCTGAAATGTTACGTTACTGGAGTAACCATAAAAGAGCACAGTTGGACACTCGGTGGAGTTTTGAACTCCTCATTATGGGAAAGATGTTGAGCTCCTGGAGGCAGTACAGGAGAGGTTGAGCAGTGATGTTGCCTGGAATGAGAAAATGCACTTGAAGGGAAATAATCCCTCAAGAAAAAAAAACAATAATAAATTGGTAGATTCAATCCAAGACTGTTCGTGGGGACATTGCTGTGCGCAATTGGCTGCCGCATTTTGCCCACAAATATACAGTCAATTCACTTTACAGTATATTCTGTGAAGCGCTTTGAGACGTCTCAAAGGCGTGAAAAGCGCTATATCAAATGCAAGGATATTATTATTTATTATTATTTTAAGTGCTAATTGTTATCTGGATGAGCCAAAAATTACTCTTTACGGTACATGATATCAACCTTCTCAACTTCACCCGCAAATCCATCCGCTCCATGGCACATCTACATCAAGATGGAAGCCATCCTCCACGGCTCCTGCCAACGTCTCCTCTCTTCTGGCTCTGGCCTCCTGAATCTCTCTGGCCTCTAACCTCTCTGTACCAGTGTGCAGCCTTGGTGTCTGGCTCCCACTCTCGCTTTCCCGACACACTCCTCACTGGTCTCCCTAACTCCCCCATTCACAAGCTGCAACTCATCCAAAACTCCACTGCCCACATTCTCACTCTGTATGCCCATCACCCCAGGCCTCGCCAGCCTCCACTGGCTTCCTATCTCCCAGTGGATCAATTTCAAGGTCCTCACCCTCACCGACAAATCCATCCCCTCGTTGGCATCTCCTTATCTCTGATCTCCTCCTGCCCGAATCCACTGCTCACTCCCTCTGCTCAGCCACCTCAGCCTTGAGGCACTTCCCCCGCCCTCTCCGGTTCCCCATGGTGGGTGAGATGCTACAGATACAGTTGAAGCCGGTTAAGCCGGACGTATCGGGGACGGACATTTTTAAGGACTTAAGAGGTGTCCGAGTTTAATTGGAATTCCATTCTCACCATCACTGCGGACTTTATGATCCCAAACATTGCATCATAATGTAATCCTCAAATTGTCCCGCCTCCCCATGGTGGCCACACCTCCCCATGGAGGCCCCACCTCGCCATGGTGGCCCTGCTGACCCATGGTGGCCCCGCCTCCCCGTGGTGGCCCCACCGACCCGTGGTGGCCCCACCGACCCATGGTGGTCCCACTTCCCCATGGTGGCCCCACCTCTACATGGTGGCACCACGTTCCGTTGGTGGCCCCGCCTCCCCATGGTGGCCGCGCCTCCCTATGGTGGCCCTGGCTCCCCGTGGTGGCCCCACCTCCCCATTGCGGCCCCACCTCCCTGTGGTGGCCATACCTTCCCATGGTGGCCCCGGCTCCCCGTGGGGGCCCCGCCCCTCATGGAGCAGGCTGGAGCCGGTTAAGCGGAGGGAGCGTGCAGGTTGATAAGTGGTTAGGAGGTCACAGTGAGATAGGGTGGGGCGAGACCATTGAGGACTTTGTAGTTGAGGAGCAGGATTTTGAACTGGATCCTCTGAAGGATAGGGAGCTAATGGAGTCGTGCGAGAGTGGGGGAGATGGGGTCACGGAGTTTGGTGTGAGAGAGGACACGGGCTGCAGAGGTCTGGATTATCTGCAGTGGAGGGAGGAGTTGGGAAGCCCGACAAGCAGGGCATTTGCGTAGTCGAGCCTGGAGGTGATGAAAGCATGAGCAAGAGTTTCAGTGGCCTGAGGGGTGAGGTGGTGGCGGAGTCGGGTGATGTTATGGAGGTGAGGGAAGGCAGAGCGGGTCATGGCTTGGATGTGGGGGAGAAAAGGCAGTTGAGGGGCAAACAAGACACCGAGGTTCCTGACTGACTGGTGAGTTGTAATGTGCAACCATGGAGGTTGATGCTGCCAGAGCCTGAGGTGCGGAGGCGCTGGCGCGAGCCAATGGGAGGGCCTCAGTCTTGACAGACCGTCTGTCAGGACAGCAGTGGTCCTGGAGTTGAGGGTGGAGGCAGAAAGACAGAGTTGGGTGTCATCCGCATACATATGGTAGTTGACCCCATATCTGCGGATGATGTCACGAGGGGGAGCATGTAGATATTAAAGAGGAGACAAGGACAGAGCCCTGGGGGACGCCAGACGTGACAGTGCGGGGGCTGGAGGAGAAACCGTTAGATGGCAACAAAGTGGAGACAGTGAGAGAGATAATAATAATAATAGTAATAATATTGCTTGCATTTGATATAGCGCTTTTCATGTCTTCTCGACATCTCAAAGTGCTTCACAGAATAGACTGTGAATTGAATTGACATTATATTTGTGGGCAAAACCCGGCAGCCAATTGCACACAGCAATGTCCCACAAACAGTCGTGGATTGAAAATGACCAATTTATTATTGTTTTGTTTTGGAGGGATTATTATTATGCTCTGTGTGGAGTAAGGAAACTTGCCCAAGGTTTCACCCTGACCTGACCTGACCTGAACCCAGATGTCTCACTTGCAAAGCGAGTGCTCTAACCACTGAGCTACAGGACTCCACAGATAGGAATCGAACCAGGCACGGGCAGGTCCGTGAAGATTGAGTAAAGCGGAGAGGCGGTGTATGAGGATGGAGTGGTTGACAGTGTCAAAGGCGGCAGCGAGGTCGAGGAGGACAAGGAGGCAGAGGGAGTCCTGATCACAGATGTTCAGAATGTCATTAGTGACTGTGACCAGGGCTGTTTCTGTGCTGTGGGCAGCGCGGAAGCCGGATTGGAGGGGTTCAAAGAGGGAATGGTGAGAGAGAAAGGAGCAGAGCTGGGACGCCACGACTCGTTCCAGAACCTTGGAGAGATGGGGCAGTAGCCGGAGAGTAGGGATGAGTCCAAGGAAGGTTTTTTCAGGATGGGGATGATGACAGCTGTTATTAGAAAGGTTGGAACTGAACCAGTTGACAAGGAGAGGTTGATGACGTTGGACAGGAGAGTGGCCAGAAGGTGAAGCTGGAAAGATTATTTCCAGAGGTCAGGGGTTTTGGAAAACGAGGCCTACTTTTAAAATCAGAACTGGGAGATCCAGAACTGAGTTCAGGAAAAACTTTTTCACCCGGAGAGCGATGGCAGTGTGGAATTCTTTCCCGCGGTGATTTTTTGCACCGCATGTACACATTCAAAAGGATTTGATGACAGTGACAACAACCTGAGGTTATATAGCACCCATCAAGCAGGAACGGGACTGGGTGCACTTAACAGTGGCGAAGCCTGACACCGAGCCAGGGGAAGCGGGGAGGTGACTGTAAGTGATTCCGAAGAGGAAGGCATTGCATGATGCGGAAAGGGGGAAGGAGATGGAAGGAGGGAGGGAACGAGGGAGAGAGTTCTAATGTTCTGGGGCACATTGACTGATGGCATGGCTGCCAATGGCATGGAAAGTAGGGGACAGGGAGCCAGCTAAGTGGAGTTGGCTGGTGGTGGCATGGGGAATAAGTAGGTCAAATAGCTAAGGAGGTGCCAGGGCATGAAGGGACCTGTAAACTAGGATCTTGAAGTTGATGGTGACAGTTTCAAAGTTGTGGAAGGAGGGATGGGTAGTTGTCGGAGTGTGGGCGGGGGTAGGATCCTCACACTTGTATTCAAATCCCTGCACTTCTCTGCACCCCCCGACTTCTCTGACCTCCTCTCTCCTCAAAACAGTACCCATTGCCTTCGTTCCTCCGGGTCTGGCTTCCTCCTCGACCGCCAAGTCCTCTGCTCCACCCTCGGCTGCCGTGCCTTCAGCCACTCTGCCCCGAGGCTCTGGAACTGCCTCCCTCAGCCCCTTTGCCTCGCTCCCTCCCTTCCTATTTCCAGGTCTCTGCTGAAGACCTTTCCTTTCAACCGCGCCTTTGGTCATCTTCCTCCCCCTTCCCCCAGCTCCTTCCCCTCCCAGATGTGCCGGTGGACCGTTAGGCCGGATTTGAGCCAAGTGGGTTCAGCAGTATAAAGCCCAGTATCCCATATGCTTCTTTAACAGCTTTATCTACCTGTCCGGCCACCTTCAAAGATTTACTATATGAACCCCAGGTCTCTCTGTTCCTTCACCCCCTTTAAGTTTGTACCATCAGCTTATATTGCCTCTCCTCATTCTTCCTCCCAAAATGTCTCCCAGCCAGTTCTGTATCCGCTGCCACTGTCCCTTTAACGTGGATTTCTATTTTGCTGACAATCTCGTATGTGGCACTTTATCAAACGCCTTTTGAAAATGCTACAATATAAACTACATCAACTGCACTACCTTCATCCGCCCTCTCCGTTATATCATCCAAAAACTCTATCAGGTCTGTTAGACATGATTTACAAATCCATGTTGGCGGTCCTTCATTAACCCATATTTTTCTAAGTGAAACTTTATTTTGTCCCGGATGATAGTCTCAAACAGTTTCCCCACTACTGACATTAGGCTGACTGGCCTGCAGTTCCCGAGTTTATCCTTCTGCCCCTTCATGATCTAGGGGTGCCCAACCCCAACCCCAACCCGCATGAATTGGAAAATAATCATAACATGAAAGAAGTTTAATTTGCCTATTCCGAACCTGCCGGCTGGCTTGCTGACACACACTCAGCTACAAGCTCTGCTCGTCCTTCTAGTGTAGCCCTCATGTTTTCAGGTAATATGAGTGGATCTACCAAAAAACTAATAACATATAATTTCAACAGTGAATCAGAAGAGCCATTCTGCTTCGTTAATTTTAAAGGAAAGTGTGTGTGTT